TGAAGTGACCTAAGCTTAGTGGATCACTGTGGTCTGCTTATAGTGTCACCATTTCAATGGAGTTGTGCTTTTGGTAGGCTGAATTCACTGAGAGAGGCTTATTCTCCTGCCGCAGGTGAGCCAGACGTTTGACATCACCATAAACCCCGTGGATGACTCCTTACCTGTAGTGCAGAGCCTGGGGATGAGAGTTCAGGAAGGTGTGAGAAAAACCATCACAGAGTTTGAGCTTAAAGCAACAGATGCTGACACAGAGGTAAGGCAGGACTCCCCTTTGCCTCCTCTCTCTCTTTTTCTGTTGCACATCTGGCCTATCAGAAAAATGGGCTTGTGTTCAAAGACAGAGATTATACTGAGTGTCATCCCCCTCTGCACATACCCTGTCTGATCACAGCTTCAAACAAACTGCTTGTGGGAGGCCTGGCTTGTATATAAATAGATGAACGAATGTTTGAGCAAAGCAAAGCCCTGGCTTGAGAAATACGTACTTCATCTGGGATGTCTCTGAGACACACAAACAACAAACCTGCATGAAAAATGGTTAGAAGTTGTCATCAGAGCAAACCTTTGCCCTGTCCCACCTTCCCTCTGAACGCTGTGGATTTGACCTGAGCTGAGGTCTTGATACTGCATTTATGCTTGGCACAGATGAAAATGGCATTTCCTCCTACTCCTCCTGGGTCTGGCTTTTTTGAGAGATGAGGACAGGCAGGGCTCATGGTGAATCAATTCAGTGTGCAGTGCTGCCTGCCAGACCCTGACTGGAAACATTGTGCTAGGAAGACTGGATACAAAGAGTCCTTCCCCAGGGCTGTAGGGACCTTCCTGACATGGTCCTGAAGTTGTAGCTTGTGCCACCCTGTCTCCTTGGTGCAGGCTGAGTCAATCACGTTCACGGTTGTGCACCCCCCTCGCCACGGCGTGATTGAGCGCAGCAGCAGTGGGCAGCGCTACCACCCCACCACCACCTTCACCATGGAGGACGTCTACCAGAGCCGCATCAGCTACAGTCACGACGGCAGCAACTCGCTGAAGGATCGCTTCGCTTTCACCGTGTCCGACGGGACCAACCCCTTCTTCGTTGTGGAAGACGGAGGGAAGAAGGTAAGCGGACAGAGAGGGAGGTGAGAGAGACCACCGAACCAGGTGGGTGAAGGCTGCCTCCTCTCAGAGGAGGGAGACTTGGCTGCTGTCACTCCACTGAAGATAGGGGCTCAGTATTCTTGGCTGTGTGATGCCACGTGCTTGGTCAGTGGTGTAATGGCAAACTTCATGCCTGCAAACTTGCCCCAGGACCTTGATCCTAACAGATCTGACGGGAGCAAGGTTGATAATACATGTATGGTGGCCAAGGCTCTGACTCCCAAAGTAACGTCCATCTCTCTGACCTTTTCTCAGGTTGTGACAGCCGCACCGCAGCGCTTCAAAGTGGACATTCTCCCTGTGGATGACGGGACACCCAGGGTTGTCACCAACCTGGGTTTGCAGTGGCTGGAGTACATGGATGGCAAGGTAACTGGTTGTCTGGGTTTGCATTAGATTGTTTCTCAGGCTGTTCCAGAAGTGGCTTCACAGGATGAATCTGGGTGATCCTTCAGCATTTTTAGTTCTGTGATAGACCGCAGGTGCCCCTTTGAGCTCATGGAGCATCTTGGAAAAGACAGAGGTGTGCAGGGATGCCTGCACTGCAGCTCAGCTAATCCAGGCAGTGTGGCTCCAGGGCACAAAATTGCTCCCTTCCCTTCCATCAGCAGGACCACTGTTCTGGCTCTTCTTGGCTCTTGAGTGAGCTCTCCAGCTCAGTACAGCTCCTGCCCACCTCGTGGGACAGCGGTGTCCTGCCCCTCGCCCTCCTTCACCAGGCAGTGCGTTTTCAGTTTTGCTGATGGGAGAAGCCTTGCTTATGTGCTGCAACAGCCACAGGAGAGATGTACGGCTCCCAAAGAAACATGGTACAGGCATTTCTTGCCATGATAGGCCTTTGTTTTGCTGAAGTCTAAACAAAACCCCAGGGAGTGATATCTCATGCTCATTTTTGAGGACCCAGCATTAACAGCAAAGAAGTACTTTGGTTCTTCCCCAGAAAAAGGATTTGGAAAGCACGGTATTAAGAAATTGTATTAAAAAGTAGCTACCTCAGCTCAAATTCCTGACTTTGGAAAAAGCACTCCTGCAGCCTCAGGCAGTTTAATTCTTTCTCTTGTTTTCTGCCACTTTTAAAGATGTTTTCTTTTTAGAGAGAAAGCAAAAATGGGGTGGAAATGAGGCACATCTGTGTGATGCCATTTGAAAGAGGATTAGTACAAGCTCACTAAAGCAGCATGAACTGTCGTGAGTGCAACCTTAAACTTCAGGCTGTTTGCAAAAAATTTTGGCAAAGCCAGGTCTCACCTGAGCATCAGCCCAATTCATGGAGTGGTTTCCAGGTGAAACTGAAAGGTTTGTCGTATCTTCTAGCCCCACCTAGGTAGGGCTCGGCACTGTGCTCTGAATTTGCTTTTCTTTTAGCCCCTCCCCTCCCCACCTTTTTTTAATTAAACCATATCTGAGACAGAATTTGAATCCTTCCTGTGCTGTCAAACATGATGTGGGACATACCTCGGGCTCCGCAGCCTCTGGGTGTTCACAGGGCCACTCTGTGCCATGTGCTCTTCAACAGCCCAGCTTCTCCGTCATGGGACTGTGACAGAGGGGTGGTTGGGTTTGAGGATGAATAATCAATCAGACTTGCACTGCTGGATCTCCAGAGTTTAACTCCCTCATTTTGGCTTTAATCCAGGCAACCAATCTGATCACCAAGAAGGAATTACTAACAACAGATCCCGACACAGAGGACAAACAGCTGATCTATGAGATAACGAACGGTCCCAGAAATGGTTATGTGGAGAACAAGCTGAAGCCAGGAACAGCGGTGACCACCTTTACTCAGGGTACGGAAGACGAGCTTTATTTTGTTGCTTTTTGCCTTCAGCTGCTTCAGGTTGTCAAGGTAGCCTGTGTGAGGGGGAAAAAATGGTGGGAGGAGCAAAGACAAGGGGCAAAATCTTATCCAGAACTTCCCTGATTTCAGGGGAGTCTTATACTGCCCAGTCAGGAGAGTGTTGCTCTTTGGGAATCTCAAAGGTGCGTCCCAAAGTAAGAAGTGAACTTTGCTGTTGATTGCAGAAAGCCTGTAGGGTTTTTTTTGATGCCGACCTGTGTCCTGTTGTGTGCCCTGTTTCTCCAGACTTGTTAGAGCTAGAGATTTGGCTTGGGACAATACAGAGCAGTGCAGATTTTGCACGTGGATCTAATAATCCTAAGGTCTGGGAGATGTTTCTCCAGTACTGCAGAGTAATCAGCATGTAGAAACTTCAATCCTCCAGGACCATGGGGCCCTCTGTTAGCAACACGAGGTGAGGCAGTAACTCTGCTTCCTGCGCCCCTCTGCTCTTTCTGCTTGCTGCCTCCAGAGTGCCCCAGGACAGCTGAGAGTGAGGCGGCAGCACGGCCTTCAGCATTTCTGCTGCTGCAGCATGCAGAACCTCGCACTGCACTATTAGGTCCTGTACAAATGCAGTCAGCAGTTCTGCCTGTCCCTTCTCATCAGGCCTTGCCAGCCAAGCCTGGCATCCCATGTGCTCAGAAAAAAATGGAAAAGACCGAAGTTATTTGAATCTCAGCAGTGAGAAGGAGCCCTGCTAGGACGTGCCACCTGATAGAACAGAGCTGAAATGCTCATCAGAGCTGCACAGCCCTGATCCCTGTGGCTGTGCAGATATGTGTGTCTGCACTGCTCGCCTGTAAAAGTACTGCTGACCTTCTGTACTAGCTCACTGGGTGTCTCCTCCCGGCAGAGGATGTGAACCAGGGCCTCATTCGGTATGTGATGCACGAGGAGAAGGTTCAGGAAACCATGGACAGCTTTCAGTTCCTAGTGAAGGACAGCAAACCCAACGTGGTCGGTGGCAATGTCTTCCACATCCAGTGGTCCCTCCTCAGCTTCACCTCCACCAGGTAAATGGCGTGGGGCTTACAGCACTCCTCTGACAGATGGGGTCTGGTCCGGAGCGAGGCAGGCTGAGCCCTCTCGTGTGTGAGGGACCTACAACTTAGAAATGAAATTCTGCGGCAATTGCCATCGTTTGTGCCTGTGTTTCCCTGGCACCCCCTCAGGACTGAAGTCTTAGCTCAGCAGCACACCCAGCAGTCACGCTGCTGATTTCTGCCTGTGCCAGGGAGCCAACAGCAGCAGGAGTTGGGAACTCGTTTGTGCGAGTGAGGAGGGCTGCCTGCCGGGTTACCTGTGGAGCAGGGTTGTGAATAGCTGACGCCTGCCTGAGCCCCTGGTTATTCACACACCTCAGATTTTCCACGGGGGCAGCAGCCAGCATGAGTCTATTGGTGCCCATATAAACACACGGGGTTTGCTGCCCAGCCCAAAGGTCCTGATCCCCATGTTCCCTGTAGGACTCCAGCGCCTTTGGCTTGCGGGCTAAGTGATGCCAGTTACTTGTCTCTGCTTGCTGCGCTTCCAGCTACAACGTCAGCGAGAGCGCGGGCTCCGTGAGCGTCGCCGTGCGGCGGGTCGGGAACCTCAACCAGTACGCCATCGTCCTGTGCCGCACCGAGCAGGGAACGGCCACCGCCAGCTCCGGGTCGCAGCCTGGAGGGCAGGACTACGTGGAGTACGCGGGGCAGGTAGGCTGGGGGCACCGCGGGACGGAAGGTTACGTTTTCACCTGGGATGCCTGGGCGCTGCTGTCGTGTTCTTCTGCCCTGGCAGCTCCCTCGTGTTGAGCAGTTGTTGCATCCTGAGAAAGGTGGGGAGGCAGGGCTCAGCACCTCCGAGCCAGAGCATGCTGCAGAGTGAACGGCCTCTGTGCTTCTTAGAAGGCTGAGAAGTGATGCAGCCAAGAGAACTAAATTGCTAGGCTGCATGTAAACGTAGTGACGTCTACAATAAAAAGCGTCTGAGCTGGAATTTTTAAGCCCACAAGAGGAAGGGTGCTCTTAGGCAGTAACTTACTCTCGTTTTGCCTTTATTTGAAGATTTGACTGCACAGTAGTTGCACAAGTAATTGTTAGGATTTTTCCCTGGCCCTGGCCATTTTTTCCTTCAGACTCCTTAGCATAGAGACACCAGCAGTTCCTAAAGAATTTCACTGTCTCCCCAGCACTGTGCATGGGATCCGGGTACCTCCATCCTTCCATTTCTTTCCTTCTCTCTGCAGTTGAGGACTGCGTTAATCATCCTCAACAAAGCACTGGGAATTCACAGTGACATCGTTTTCCCCAAAGGCTCTTTTGACACTTTTCCAGAAAGCTCACTTTTAATGGTGATCACCCCTTTTTCTGCCTTGTCCTGTACTGTGTTAACCCCTGATTTTTGTAACTGTTGCTGATATAAGTATTGACATGACTTTGAGCATATTTTATCTTCTTTGAGCAATATTTCTTTTAATTTAAGTAGGTTCTGTGATCCTATGACCTTGAGCAAAGTTCAGTGTTCATACACAAGAGCCAGCAATGCTGTTGCCTGGTAAAGTGTATGATGCCAGTGATATTAGTCTCAGTAAAGCTGATAAAAACAGAGGAGACTATTTCCTTTCTAAAAAAGATGTGTTTTATTTGCCTTCAGACGAGGGTCCCTTTTTCCATCAGGATTTCATGTTGGCAGATATGTTTTGCAGCAGTGTTGTGACAGATTACAAGCTTCGCAGGCTTGCCTGGATAGGAATGTCACTCACAACCATGCGAAAGCCTAAAACATGACTGAGACCAGAAGGGTGGGGGCCTGCACGCTGCATTTGCTGCTGCCTTTGGCCTCTGCTAGCCATTTGTCCTTGGTTAAGGTCGGTGTACGGAGCTGCCTACGCACAGGGTGTGACTGAGGCCAGGGTGGTGCGGGAAGGAGAGAAAGTTTCAGACCCCAGTCCAGAGGGAGCAGCCCGCTTTCTGCCTTGCAGGTGCAGTTTGAGGAGCGGGAGGACACCAAGGCCTGCACCATCGTTGTTAACGATGACGAGGTCTTTGAGAGCGCGGAGAGCTTCACTGTGGAGCTCAGCATGCCAGCCTACGCGCTGCTGGGGAGCATCACCCGGGCCACGGTCACCATCACTGACGCAGAGGATGAGCCCACCCTGCAGTTCGACAGGAAGACGTACCACGTCAGCGAGAGCGCCGGCGTTCTCTCTGCTCCTGTTGAAAGAAAAGGTGGGTTGAGTCTGAACCCGCCCTGCCACGGGGCTGGATGAGGAGCCAGCAGTAGCACATTATACCCTTGCCAAGCTCAGGCAAGTGACAGTTTCCTGTCAGCAAGCAAACAGTGCCCCCCGCAAAAAAAAACAAGTGGTGTTCTCTGGGGGATTGTTTGTTCATTATTTTGGGGACAATTCTTTGATTTTTCAGAAGTAGTTTTGTGGTACAATTGAGATGACAAGAAACAAGGGCAGGTGGCTTAATTTTTTTTTTCTTCCTCAGCTCTGCCATTAAGATTCACCAAACACATTAAAACTTCTTGTCTTTGGATCTGTTTCTCCTCCCAGCATGAGCCTGTATTTATTTGCTGCTTCTCTGTGATCGAGATACTGTATTTTGTGAGGACCCCATCACTGTGCCAGATATTCTTTCAAGTTAGAAGTTAGACCAAAGCCAAGTTTGGTGGAAGTTTAGGAGTAGGGATGGTTTCTCCCCAGCTTCTCTAGTGAGTGCTGCGTTATTGTCTAAGTGAATGGTGTATAACATCCTTCACCAAATGGAGTAATAAGACTTCCATAAAGCCATGTTTTTTTCCTGTTGCATCTTAGGGGATACGGGCAGCACCGTGTCTGCTGTCTGCTACACCGTCCCCAAATCCGCCAAGGGAAGCAGCCCGTATATGCTGGAATCCGGCTCCGACTTCAAGTCCAGGGGGATGACGGATGAGAGCCGCATAGTTTTTGGACCAGGCGTTAGCGTGTCGACATGCGATGTCACGCTGATCGATGACAGCGAATACGAAGAGGAGGAGGAGTTTGAGATTGTGCTGGCCGATGCTTCGGACAACGCGCGCATTGGCAGCCGGGCTTCAGCCAGCGTCTTCATCGCGGGTCCCAACGATGCCTCCACGGTGTCCCTGGGGAACGCTACCTTTGCTGTCAGTGAGGCTGCAGGTGAGGAGTGGCAGTGGCTCCCCCGGGGCTGCTCTGCATCGCGTGGGTGCTTACTGTGGAAGCGTGCTTCTAACGGGTTGAAGCATTAGAAAGGCTGGGTTAGGGCACAGCAGCAGAAACAGGGGAGATCTGCAGAGAGTTTATAATCTTTCCTCTGTCCCTGAGGGGGAGGCTGGGGGTTGTTCTCCTCAACAGCCTGTGCTCAGTGAGGTGCAGCAATGAAGGTTGAGAAGTGGTTTTGTGATATGTGCCTGCTTTCTAATCTTGGTTCTCGTTTGTGTGCAATGGGTGATGCAGGAAACATTGAAATTCCAGTCCTCCGGCAGGGACCCGATCTCTCAACCCCCGTCTCGGTGTGGTGTGCCACTCGGACGTCAGACCCTCCATCTGCCAGCCCGGGAATCGATTATATCCCCAGCTCCAGAAAAATAGAATTTAGGCCAGGCAAGACAGAAGAGGTGAGGACCCACTTTGTCTCCTGCTGAGTCTGCCCATCTGAGGACATTTCTTGCTCATATATGTGCACGCTCCGTATTTGCCATTTGAGTATTTTGAAAATCCTCCCAGGGCCACTTGAGAATTGTTAATGAATCTGCTAGGCACACATTTGCATCAGATCAGTGCTCCAGCCAGAGAAGATTCAGTCAGGCCATCTCTCCTGAGATGAAGGTTGTTGCCTTTTCTGTGAAACGATATGCTGGACTTACCTACAACATTGCTGCCATCGATTAGTGAACTTAGAACAGACCTGACATAATGACTTTACATAAGAAACCCAGAAGTGACTGCCAGGAAGGATGACAGCTTTCTGTCTTTAAAAGAGGGTCTTCTGTTTTCCTCCTAGTTCTGCACTCTGACAATCCTGGACGATGCTCAGTACCCCGTGATAGAAGGGCTGGAGACATTTGTTGTTTATCTCAGCTCACCCCACGGAGCAGAGCTAACAAAACCTTTCCAAGCGATCGTAGCCATTAATGACATCTTCCAGGATGGTAAGTTATCCACGGCGGCTCTGCCTAGTCCGTGCTAGCCTCTTCCTTAACACTTGCACACAGGAGGAGGCTCGTCCAGGTGAGGTTATTCCTAGGCTGGATTTAGTCTGTTTTCCTGTGTTTCTCCCATTGCATTGGCTGCCCTGTTTCTGTCCATGCATCACAGTCCACAAGACCCTGGAGTCTTTGGAAGTGCAGAATGAACTCTCCTGTAGTGTTCACTCCCCTCTAGCCATTCTTGGCCTCCTCTGCTCAGAGCTCAGTCCCCGTTCATGATTTTCGTGGGCTGAACTCCTCTTACTACGTGAGATTGTTTCACCTCATGTTGCCTTCCTGTTGTGTTTTAACCTCTCTCATGTTTGCTTGCTTAAGGAACGCACACACTGTGTAACCTTAACTTTGAAGTAGTCCTCTTTGCAGCTAGTAATTTCTTCCATGTCTGTCCACAAACAGTAGGATAATGCTTTGAGACCTAGCCCATACTTCGGTAGAGTCCTCACACAGTCCCTGCTTGCCAGGCCACACAAACACACGTTCCCTGCACCACCAGCCCTTCAGCACATTGGAACAGCACCAAAATGTCAGGGAAGGAACAAGTTTCAGCAGCCATTGAAAGTAGGTGACTAAGAGGTGATGAAGAGAGAGAGCTTCCTTCTGAAGGGCTGCAGGGTCTGCCAGTCCTGTACTCTTTGGAGGGCTGATAGCAGTCACAGTCACTGGTTTATCTGAAACAAAATCCTCTCCTGAGGCACAGCAAAGCTGCCGCTTCATTCTCTGGCTGTCAGACTCCATGCAGCAGTTCTCCAAGGTTGTATGTGCTTTGATCAGCTCTTCTCACTCTGCAAATTCAATGCTGCCTGACACCCTTCATTGCCTTCTGCAGTGCCAAGCATGCAGTTCACCAAGGATGCGTTCACGGTGAAGGAGAAGGAGGGAACTCTGCACATCCCCATCTTCCGCACTGGCGACCTGAGCTATGAGTCCTCCGTCAGGTGCTACACCCAGAGCCAGACCGCAGAGGTCATGGAGGACTTTGCAGAGAGGAGAAATGCAGAGGAGTCCCGCATCACTTTCTTGAAAGGGGAGAAGGTGAGCAGTGAACCTGGCTTATAGGGAGAGCGAAGTACTGGTGGGAGAGGTTCAGATCTCCTGCCTGACTCTGCATTGTCAGGGGAGCTTACAGAGGCTGTCAGAGCTGGGTTCGTAGATGCGCAAGGTCACAAATCCTTCTGGTCCTGGAAATAGGACGTGACTGTGGAGGTCTTTGTTTCATGATAAAACTGGTTAAAACGTAAAATGCCAATCCTCTGTGTCAGAAGGACTCAGGGTCGGTGTAGCAGAGAGCTATGGGCTTGTGGAAGCTGATGTCTTCACTGCTGTCTTTCATTGTGTAACTGTGTGATTTGACCACACTGAAGTAGCCCTAACAACAGAAGGGTTCTTCTTCCAGGACAGGCAGTACTCAGACAAACAACCCTAGACAGGGAGGAAACAAGGTAGCTTCAGGGAATTTATCAGTGTCTGCTCTTCTCTCATTTGCTTGGCTCCAGGTGAAGAACTGCAGTGTTTACATCAGTGATGACTCTGCCTTTGAACCAGAGGAGCAGTTCCAGGTCTACCTTGGTAGCCCGCTTGGAAACCATTGGAGTGGAGCTAGGATTGGGAAGATGGACGTGGCAACCATAACCGTCACCAACGACGAAGATGGTAAGCGAGGAAGCTCAATGAGGATGGAGCTTTTCTCCCCTGCTTGCGAGCCCCTTGCTCTACAGACGTGTAGATACAGTCTAAAAGGAGCTGGGCTTGGCTCACCCCGCTTGCTGAACGCTGTTCATGTGCAAGCCATCAGCTGGTGTGCAAACCTGGGGCTCTTTCATCACCGCTGTCTCTCTAGCACCCACCATTGAGTTTGAAGAAGCTGCCTACCAAGTGCGGGAGCCGCCGGGCCCGGAGGGCGTTGCTGTTCTAAATATCAAGGTGGTCCGCAGAGGGGATCAGAACAGGACCTCGAAAGTCCGCTGCAGCACCCGGGATGGCTCAGCTCAGGCCGGAGTGGATTACTACCCCAAGAGCCGAGTGCTCAAATTCAGCCCAGGTAAAGGGTCCCAGGAGGGGAGAGAGTTATTTTGTTTGTGGTATTTCCTCCATTTTTTGTTGTTGTTTTGTTTTAGTAATGTATTTCAAATGTACTACACGAGGCCTTACCACGTGGTATTTTTTGAAGTGTGACTTTCCCTTGGGCTGTAGCCGCACGCTCTGCTACAGCTATAACTGTGAGGCAAAGAGGCTGAACAGCTAGGTGAAGAAGGGTGCCCAGATCAGAGCAAGAAGCCCTGGTATTTGGTAGGTGTTGGAAAGGCAGTTCTCAGAGATTCAGCAGAGATCTTTCAGGATCCTGTAAGAGTGTAGACCGTGTTGCTGAGGCCAAGAAGCTGTCACAAAACATTTCTGCCTGCTGGTGAGAGACAGGATTGTTGCTCACAGCAGAGGTGGGATATACTTCGGATCATAGATTTTTACTACAGACAGCTAATATAAGACAGGCATTATTAATCCCCAGATGGCATCTGCTAGTAAATCTATCACCTGATCAATCAGATCCGTTGTCATAGTCAGAGTTTTATGTATAGACTTGTGTGTGGAAAGGGCTGAATTATTAGCAGCAATGAGTGGAAATAAAATTTATAATGTGTATTTTATCATAATGTTTCAGTGGTTGTGGCATAGACCAGCTGTGCATTTTTTTAATGAGAACTTCAGAGCAATTTCCAGTGATGAATCGAGTTCGAGTTCTCTCTGTTTCTCTTGCATTTCCTCTCACAGGTGTGGACCACATCATATTTAAGGTGGAGATCATGTCCAATGAAGACCGAGAATGGCATGAGTCCTTTTCGCTAGTGCTGGGTCCAGATGACCCAGTGGAAGCTGTTCTTGGAGACACCAGCACTGCCACGGTGACTATTCTGGATCAAGAGGCGTCGGGGAGCCTGATCCTACCAGCACCTCCAGTGGTAAGCTGCCCGTTGCAGTGGATATGGTTTAGTGCCCTTTGAGT